TGCACATCCTAGGCAAGAGCTCTAATCCGTAGCCCAGAATACAAAACAGTAAAGATGCATTCTCCTCTGAACCCATTCTAAGAGGAGGTGGTCACTGCTAAGTATTGTCAAACCTGGTCACACGTATAGAGTGTAGTAAGGAGGGAGTACCTGTAGGTGTCTGTCCAGCTGGTTTACAGAACCTGGTCAGGCTTAGGCATAAGTAGTTCCATCAGCCAAACCCGAGACGTGCACAGGCTGAGACGCAGAAATCTTTAGCATCTAGAAATCTTCAGGGTCAAAATGCTGGTGATGATTGGGTTGAAATGCCTCCACAGTTAGGGAGATATTTTCATAATGGAATTCAACGTTCATTTCTGCAATCTGGCCTTCAAGATGCTAAAACTTTTTATTTTTAAGGGGGTTTTAATTATGGGGTGTAGAAGCAGAGAAGGGTGCTTCCCTCAGTAAAAACTTAGTTGGGTCACACTTGTTTAAAGAATTGGGTTTCACTGTAGCAGTTTACCAAAGTGCTGGTATCTCTATAAAGAACCAATACAAGATTTGAACATTTTGAAAGATTCCTATGGCTCAGCTAAGCAAGACCCTGAAGAGCACCTCCACAATCCGCCTCCAGTAAATCACTCTGGAGGCTGAAAAGCACTGACGTATTCAGAATCAGACTACAGGAGGTTAAGTTCTTGTAGTAAAAACACAAAGTAAAACAAGCATAAAAGTCACCCCTTGTCTTTATAAACTTTTGGGTGTGTGAAGATTCATCATAAGAAATACATTACCAAAAACTCAGAGAGAAAAGGGTAATTCTGGAAGCTAGAACTACAGAGATTTATTACTACCTATTTGATCATTAGAAATATGATAGCCTAACTAAATCAAAGTCATGCCAAATCAGTGAAACACACAGGTTACTCTCCATCTATGAGGAACAATACAGTTTGGGGATGTGGGGCTGAAAGATGAAAGATTAAATTACAAGAACAAGGTGATATAATTATAAATGATTGCTGATACAGCAAGGGACTGAACTTAATGCTGCAAGAGATGTTTTCCCCTCCCATGCACCTATTCTCCTCTGACCTATGGCCCCAGCTGCTGTCTGACTTAAACATGGCATCAGGAACTACAGAGAGTAGGTGACAGTTGCATAGCAACTACAGGGACAGGAACCAAGGACTTCTCTCCTTCAGCACACCATGATATTAACAGCAGTGTCGATAATTTCAACACTGAGTTTGGGTTTGGAGTCCAGGGAATAATCAAGAACACAGCAGAAAGACAACACTGCTCCCGGGGTGTCAAATAAACATACTCTCACAACACTTTCAGAGAAGGCTTTGAAATGTAACATTAATCATGGACTGAAGAGCCCAAGACAAGAAGTGAGAAGGGTATTTTACTCCCCTACCCAAGACAAGCAGACTTCACTATCTAGGAGATGGATGATATGAACACCTACCATCATTTTAGTGCATTTTAATAAACTGCCACTCCTCAGATGTAATGTGGCAATTATCAGGATGCAAATCCACTGCAATGCTGTGGTGAATGTTAGAGCAACCTGTGTATTTTGCACTGCAGTGGACACAATTCCTGATTGTATCTCTGGAAATGAAGCAGGAACCGACAGCTGAGGGGCAGCGACTTATTATACGTTAACGAAAAATATACTGCAAAATTCCAGATCATGTTGTCTGCTGAGCAGTGAAATCCCCTTACACCTTCTGAACATAAGGCCTAACATTCTGCTGTCTTTTGTGCAAACACAGATTCTTCCCATTTTTGCAAAAACCATAGAGCCAGTTTAAGGTTTCAATCAGATACACGAGGTTCTAGCCCACTATTTTTAGGGCTTAATGGCAAAGCTAATAGTGCCATTAATCCACTTTGGTATATAACATTCAATTTCCACTTCAAATTGCAGCTTAGTGCGAATGGTAGCTTGATTCCTGCTGTCAGATACATCTAGAAATTCACAATGCAACTTATTTAACGACTTCTTATTCTCAGATTCATCTGAATGGTGTCTGCAGCGATCTTTTGAAACTGTGTGGCAAAAAGGGATGGGGCATTCTCAACTCAATATTTACAGGACTAATGCAGTATTCTGCTGAGACTAACCAGATGGGAAAGACAGGACTGGAATGTAAATGGCAAAGCACTTCTATGGATTGGTTTACACGTGGGTGCCTAAAACACAAGTGCCCCTCCATCAGCAGGTAATCCAGAGCCAAGCCCAGAAGGATGCTATTCCTCCAGGGTGAGCTCTCCTCCATGAATGGGAGCTCTGCCTCTGATCCTGTCCTCACCCTGGGAGGATACAGCCTCTGTCCAGCCTTGCAAAGATGGGCTCCTCTCAGTTGGAAAGACAACATTTACAAGGCGAGTGACAGTCATTATATCTTGAAATCACTATCTTGTGTGCACTCCATCAGCTCAAGAAAGCTGGCAAGAAGCAAAAGGGGCTCACTGCACAAAATATATCTGCTCCTGGTGTAAATCCATAAGTGCTACACTTGAACAGAGGGAGAATCTTTTCCCTGACATGGGATTAGAGGTGTGGGAGAGATAGCTTGAGACAAGTTATCTGCTTTAAAAGACATCACTGTGAATTTAGAGAGAGACTTTGAGAAACCAATTAAGATCTTTAAAACATTAAGTGGACAACTTGGTGGGCAAGTGCCCCCCTATTTCTTCAGGTTAAAATTACTGCACTGATTGTTGTCCTTGTAAAGGTATCATCTGGAGTTTGAATTTGAGATTTGTTGCCTCGTGATATTGAATTATGGGTGTATGATAATCATTCTGTGGGCTCAGAACGAAACTGGAAAATATCTGTGACTTTTTAAACTAAGAAACTTGTAGTAGAAATTCCAAATGTTAGTATACATGACATGGCTTTGATTCTAAAGTACTTCTGCAGAAACACAAGTCATGAAGTATACAGACATCAGTGAGCACTTTCAAAAAAAAAAAATCAAAATAAAATTCACTACAGAGACACAGTGTGAGTGAATAATGTGCAAGGAAAAACTACCTTATGCTTGCCTGTTAATATATGATAACTGAATATCTGCCTGGTCTTGCATTGGCTTAAAATCCAGTTAAAATCAGTTATGTTGGGCTCCTATGAGAAAAAGCAGCTGATGGGGAGAAGGATTGCATCTGAAAGAGTAAAGAAAAGAAAGGGCACATGGAAATTTGTTTCATTTCTCCAGCGGAGATGTCTAGCTGGGCAGCTTTTTCTAGTTGAGGTGCTCAAGGGTGCACAGGCCTGCTGAAATACTGGAGACAAGCCCAGCAACCCAGTAACACACTGGGTCAGACAAACTCATCCCAGAGCTCTGTGCTCACATGAAGTGCCCATGAAGATTGCTTGTTAAAATAGGTCTGATATCAGAGCAGTCCTATGTACTCAGCATTTACTCTTAGGAATAAAAGACTTCTCAGAGATTTGAGAGGTGATGAGAAAGATCAAGACCAGTCAGGTCAGAAGGCTCCAGTCTGTTGGAGATGCTACCAAGGGAACCAGACCAACGTTAAGTGTCCATTCTCACAAACTGAGCAATTTTTTTTTTTTTTTTTTTTTTAACTGAGGCAATTAAACTTGAAGAACTGTCCTTGAAACCACTGCTGCCAGAGATGGTTTGGAAGTTGAATTCAGCTACAGATTAACTTCCATGTAACTGGTTTAATAACCAGCTGAGCCTCTGGTCCTCCTGGGATGACCTTTCTCTGCCAGTACAACATAGCACACTTCTGCAGAGAGGGAGAAGAAAGAGAAGAAAAAGAAAAAGTCATCTTGCAGGAGCTGGATAAGCCTTTAGGCCGACTAAGATCCTTCAGCAGAGCTGGAAAGTCATGACACAGAGAAAGCATGGTGTGGAGACTCACACCTGCACTTTGCTTCATTTGTGAGCAAGGAATTTCAAAATCAGCATAAACAAACAAAACCCAAATCATTTGTGGGCAAGGAATTAAATCCCTGGGAGCTTGTCTATGATGAAACCAACGTTATGTAGCTAATGGCAGCCTTTAGAGCACCTCAGCAACCACAGCCCATTTGTGCTACAGCTCACCCTCGTGGTGTTGTCTTTAACCACAGGGTCCAAAGCCCGAGTAAGCCCAGGACATCCTCAAGCGAGGCATTCTCTGGACGCAACTCAGGGCTCAGCCAGCCCATTCGAACCAGGCAAGAGGAGCTCTGGCTCTGGGCAGGAGAGGAGTGGAGGCCAGGACAGCACATGGGCATCCTGCCTGTCCCTGAACACCTGCCACCCTCAGCTGCCTGCCTCTGCTCAGGACCCGGCTGCCGAGAACAGGCATCAAGCTATGCTGCATGAAAAATCCCATTTTTTCAGACCAATTTTAAAGCAAATCCATCCTATTCTCTATCTGCAGAGGGCGCCAGACAGTTTCAGATCTGCTGGTGGAGCCAGAGGTGGGGATGCTGTACCTGGTGTTTGCAGCTGTCAGTCAGAAAGGTGCTTGCTCTCTAATGGCCAATGCTCTTCACGGAGGATTAAGTAGGAGTTGGTTTTTTCTTTCATGCATGTATAAAATCCCTTAGTTCTCTTTTCCTTTCTTGCCACAGAAATAGCAAGAGATACTTCACTGAGCTGCAACATACTGGCAACAAAACTGCACTGGCCCCAGCAGACAACAGCAGATGAGCGAACTCCCTGCTTTTAATCACCAGGAGAGCTAGAACCAGCAATGTGCTGCTGCCGATTCTTCCCTTCAGAGAAAACTGTTTGATGCCTGCAAGACTTGAAGCTCACTTTCTTATAAAGGAGAAGAGAAGCCTGTGACTGACAAAAAAACTCACTGTAAATGCAGATTTTCTTATGTTTCTACTTGTAAAAGTGACTAAAGAAAAGTCTTGCTTGATTCCGTCCCATGTGCACAGCAACAACTTCCCCCCCCCCCCCCCCTTTTATTTTTTTTTAACCTGTGCTCTATCAGGTCTGTAATCTCTTGTGAATTCAACTCCTTTGCTGGCAATGAATACCACACATTTTGCGTTTTCCTTTCAGCCTGTGCTGCTTAATGTCACTGAAGACTTCAATGACTCCATTCTGAACAACAGAAGTGGTGATGGATTTTGTGAGCAGGTCTTCATAAAAGCTGAAGTCTTCTTGACTTTAGGGATCATCAGCCTCCTGGAAAACATCCTTGTCATTCTTGCAGTGCTGAAGAATGGAAACCTACATTCTCCCATGTATTTCTTCCTTTGTAGCTTGGCTGTGGCAGATATGTTAGTGAGCATGTCAAATGCCTTGGAGACTATCATGATTGCAATTCTGAGCAACGGCTATTTGATCATTGATGACCACTTTATTCAGCACATGGACAATGTTTTTGACTCAATGATTTGTATTTCTTTGGTAGCCTCAATTTGCAACCTCTTGGTTATAGCCATTGACAGGTACATAACTATTTTCTATGCTCTCCGTTACCACAGCATCATGACTGTGAAGAAAGCTTTAACCCTGATTGTGGTCATTTGGATTGCTTGTATCATCTGTGGCATCATATTCATTGCCTACTCAGAAAGCAAAACTGTCATTGTCTGTCTCATCACCATGTTCTTTACCATGCTGTTTCTCATGGCCTCCCTTTATGTTCACATGTTCTTGTTTGCACGCCTGCATGTTAAGCGGATTGCAGCCCTCCCCGTGGACGGGGTGCCCTACCAGCGCACCTGCATGAAGGGAGCTGTCACCATCACTATACTACTTGGTGTCTTCATTGTTTGCTGGGCACCTTTCTTTCTTCACCTCATTCTCATCATTTCTTGCCCAATGAATCCATACTGCGTCTGCTACACTTCACACTTCAATACATATCTGGTCTTGATAATGTGTAACTCGGTAATCGATCCACTCATTTATGCTTTCCGGAGTCTGGAGATGAGAAAGACTTTCAAAGAAATAGTGTGTTGCTGTTATGGTATGAGTGTGGGACAGTGCATGCTGTAACCCTCTAGCTTTGTATTGAGAACAGAGAAAGGATACACACGATAGGTGTATGAATATATATATGTATCTAGGTACACAGCAGCTCCACTTCAAAAGCAGTGTTTGAAGGGCACAGGAAAGAAAAAAATAACCTTTACTTGATGCCTTGATTAATATTTTCAAAATGAAAACCAGATTCAACTAAATTATTTGGAATTATTTAAACAGTTATAACAGATGGAAATATAGAGTGGTTTACCAAATTGCTTAAGAAACTTACTGGAAAAATGAATCCTGAAAGGGAATACTATTTTATAGAGACTGAAATAATACCGCTACCATTATTTTTTTACTTGTTGCTTTACCTATGTGCCACTATCAACAGCCCAGTGTTTTCTAAAAGATTCCATTAGTAACTTCTGTGGAAAGCTATTCGCTTGCAAAACAAATCAAAACACCAACACATAACAGCATTGCTCTACACTTACTCCCATGCCTCCACCTTCTTTTAAAAGAACTGATTGACATTTATGCTGCTTGCTATAAAGCACCCTGAGTAAAATTTCTGAAGGGTGAAAGTAAACATTTCTCTTGTAGTGAAATATTCTTACAGTAGAAATCAGTTAAGTGAAAAGGAACAGCTACTGTGTCAGTGATAGTGTGACTTAAGCAGCTGCCTGATAGAAGTGACTCACATGAAGAGGGCATTTACATTACTTATTGTGATATAGGACTATTATATCCCCGGAATTATTTTTTTTTTTTTTTAACTGGAATGCACTGATCAATGTACTATTTGGTATATTAACAAAATAAGTCACAGAAACCTCCTTTTGATAAACTGTCACCAATGAGACCCATCCCTAGAAAATTTTGAAGACAACACAGATCTAAACACAAGGAATAAAACGTAAAACAGTTTGTATTTAGCCTTGTGTAAAAGCTGCATGGAGTCTTTATAGATATCCATTTGGCTAAGTTAGGCACCTGGAAGAAATATGATGTGTGTGGCAGATACGACTTCTATGCATTGGGAAATATATGGCTTAGGTCAGTCTCTTTGGACTTAAAGAGCTACACACTGAGTTTGGTGGATGGACACTCCTGCACTGGAAACAGGAAAGCATCATGCTGTTTGCAATCATTTTCCAACTCTGTGTGCAAGCTGATGGCATGTAAAGCACGTAAATTCAGCTACAATAATTTAGTCTTTGTCTCTGCATTTTATAGGAACAAACAATGTAAGTGGCCTTCAAACAGCATGCTGTAACTGAGCAAAGGCTGACGCGATTTGTATATAATACAACACACAGGCAGTATCACAGACAGTGCCAGACAAAGAAAACTCTAAGCCATTCTAAAGTCTACTTAGCACCTTTCTGGTATCTCGCTTTTAGGAGGGGCAGTAACCTGAAACCCCCAGGGTTGTCTATCACTTTCATACAACTAAAAGACTGAAGACTGGAGTTTGGGGTTTTTTCCCCTCGTTTGAGTGGAGTTGCTATGTTGCTGTTATTTCGGGGGTTCACCTTCTGTCAGTTTAGGAAGTTACCCAGACCAGAGCTTTCCCATCTTCTCTGCCCCCAGTTCTGCATTCACACACTAGTCCTGGTACAACCCAGGCTGATGGTGTTTCACTGCTACTGCCTCCAGAACCCAGCTCTGACTGTCCACGGGGAAGACATGTCCCACAGTTTGCAAATACTGACCCCTGTTTGACTGTTTTTTATTCTCAGCATCCTACAATTTATGTAGGGGAGCAACCTAACTTCCCAATCCTATGGAGTGTATAACTTTCATTGGGCCAAGAAACATCTCTCCCTGTGCTCTGGTTATATTCTGCCCATCAGCTCAAACCAACGTCACACTCCCTATTTCCCTTGTCCTCTGATCACGTCCTAAATTCCCTAATCGCGTTCTCATTTCCTCCCATAATCCCATCTCCAGACTTCCACCTTCCCAACACTCCCACTGTTCCCACTTACCTAATTTCATAACTTTTAATTAAAAAAAAAAAAACAAACCCAAAGCTAAAAAATCCAAGGTCACTGTGGAGCACATGACAGAACAGGCACAGATGAATATTCTCCACATTTCAGATAGAGACCAGAGAAAATCCCAACAACTGCCAAGTAAGCCAAACGTGAATGCTTTCAGCCTTATTTGTGTCTCACAAATTACAGTTCAGCACTACTAAGATCTGTTCTGTTAGTTCAGCCTGTCTTATTCTGCAACACCTGGTGTGGCACATTAAGATGAACTGAAACATCAGCATAGGAAACCACACAACTGGCCTTTCATGGTGTGGAAAGACTGTACCTACTTGTTGTAAAAAACTCTACTTGTTGTCAGTGTTATGTATCTTTATACTCTGGAGCATGGTTTGCCATGATATTCTGCCTCAGGTTATTGTGTATTTAGCTTTTATTGCACCTGATGTCCTACTTACTTCTCTTCTTAAGACTGACTCATATTGTGCTTTGCCTTTAAGGAAAAGAATACATCTGTTGAATAAAACAATCTGAAGACATCACTTAGAATCATGTTTGCTTCTGTCAGAGCACCATGACATGTCAAACCACAGTTCCTGGTGGTCTGGTTCACAAAACTAGAAATAGAGTCTAACACCAGGCAAAAACCTCCTAATTCTACATTTTGTCCACAGAGGTAAACAAAAAATGAGAGGAAAAAAGCCAGACTTCGCCATCCCATCTGCAAACATGATAGAAAATCCATTAAATCCCTCAATGATCTCTTACACTTTCTGGCACCTGCCAGTGAAGGTACAGCTCCTCCCCACAGGTTATCCATGGCGATGGATGGTGGGTTTGTCCAGCCCCAGTTCCAGATTCCCAAATCTAACTCATACTTTGGAAATCCTTGGTGCAGCCCTCCGCACGGAGCCAGGATGGCAGCCATCACAAGCCCATCTGTGATGGGGAGGGAAAGAAAAGTCATGGGACTGACCCCCACAATAGGAGGTAGAGAATGAACACTAATAGCTACAGCTCTAGGTGTGAAATGGAAGGGAGGGGAAGAACAGGACTGCACTCTAAGGAAATACCAGTGCTATCAGCTGCTGTGAGACCCACCTTAATGCTTCAGTGAGAAGGGAGTCCTGGAACTGGTGTGCAGCCATCCTCAGTCGTCAGTGACAGAGCTGAAGCTCAAGTCAGGACTCATCTAAGAGACATGCAAGGACTGGAACATCAGCAGAAGCCCCCCAAAACAGTATCATTTCCCACCAGTGCACCCTATAGCTGTGTACATACAGCAGAACAAAGGCGTGACAGCAACACATGCTAGTACAGGGCAGCAGTCCTTACCACATGCTAGTAACCAGAGCAACATTTCTACCTGCTGAGAATCTGCCTCTGTTTATAATGGCAGTGAAATCTGAATACTTTCAGAGTTGTCACTATTAAGGATAATGTAAAATCTGTAAGAAGAAATGTTTCTTCCTTGGTAAGAGTGCTGGGCTGAACAAGATATATACAGCTTCCCCCTAGACAGTATGAAAAATGGCAGACCGAGATAATATCCTTTTCATCTAAAGGTGCCATTTATATGGATTTATTGATTCAGTTTTTCTGCAAGAAAATCGGGCAGTTCAGGAGCACTGTAAGATTACAGCTCAAAGACTGGTTAGAAAACCCTCATATATTCAGACAAATATTTGAATTCACAGGAGCATGAGTTATCCTGCTATCTCAAAATGGCGTATTCTGCAAATTAGAGCCAGATTTGCTTCTTTTATATAAAATTCATCACTGCGCATGCAATTTTCCCATCAATAAAGGTCTAAATATTTTATAATTTAAAGCATTTGGCCTAATGGATAAATAACAAAGACCAGGCACAGAATTATGCAGTCAACCAAGGTCATCAGTAGGGCCATTAGTACAAATACCTTGATTACCTCTTCACTGAAATAAGATGCTTCTGTTTGTTGAAGCCTAGTTTGGGACCAGGGTTAACTGTTTGCTTTGGTAGCTATACCTAAACCAAGGTGATTTTGATGCTCACCGAGGAATACTGCTTCACAACATACACTGGAAACCCCTTTACTGGGCAACCCAGCCCAATCTCAGTTCCACATCTCTGAGACAGTATGAGAGAAACCAGGTAACCTGGGCACTGAGACACCCAGCATGGGTACAGCAGATACAACTGTTCCAGAGCAGCTTGTTCGTTCCCATCTCCACCGCTCAAGAACAGAGACAGGTTGCACTCAGCCCGATCGATATAAGATGATCCCTTCTGAATAAGGCATAGAAATTTGGAGAGCATTCAGTGGGCTACAGCATGCAGAGCAGGGAGACTCACATCACTTGTATTAGCAATGTGAAGTTCAGCTCCAGATAATCACTGTAAATGTTGCTACCAAGTCACAATAGGACTCTGGTGTTCCCTCTTCAGAAGAGCTCTGGGTACAGGCATGGATCTAATTTTTTATCACAACTATAACACAATGCCCACATTCAATAAGCTTTCAGGTGGATGGCAGAGGAAAGAAACAGCCTTCAAAGAACACTACTACAAAGACTAATAAAAATTCTCGTCCATATATATATCTCTATGAAGAACATTCAGATAGTGCTGTTCTGCTCACTTTTGGAGGTTGAAGCTTAGAAGGTTAAAATACAGCCTTGTTTTTAAGTTGTTCAATTATTAATGTACGTTAAGTGGACAGAGGCATAGAGAAAGGAAGGTAAAGCAGATTCTTAAGGCCAGAGCTACAGGTGAAGCCCATTTGCACAGGGGAAGCTCACTGCACCGGGAGCAGCACATCATCACAGCTGAACATTTCATTCTGTTCTTTCCTACGCTGCCACATAATGAGGTCACAATTCAAGTCAGACTTTACACTGATGAATGAAAACAAGCTCTATCAGATTCACTCCAAATAGAAAAACATAAGTTTTGGTGCTTTGAATCTGCTTGGAAAGCAAGCATTTTTCATTCTTCTTGTTTAAAATTACTTTTTCCAGAAAAATACAAGTGTAGGGAAGCTTGCTCCA